ACGCCTGCTATATATCTATATGGTGATGGAGGTATGGGAATGTAATAAATTCTCGAATCCTTCTTTGTTTTCTTCTGTTTTAAGCCGCTACTGTATTTACGTAAGCTTAGTGGCTTCGATGAGACAATAAATTCTTTATAGATTTTCTCCATAAGGGGACTTTGGTAAATTACTTTTGATGCTAATGATGAAGTGGGTGGGTGTGATGTATCTGCTATGGCGTTGGTATTTGTGACAAATGCTTTAACTAATAATTTCGGTGCTCTTCCACTGGCAAGAATTATTGTAATCAAGATAAGATTCATTTTATTTAATGATGGCATACTGTAATGAAATAAATTTATACATGGATTAGTTAAAATAATATGCGTATTAAAATGAAAAAATATTTGGCTGTGATTAGAAAATATTGAATTATTAAAATTCATTCTACTTAAATTAAAAAATATTATATATTATAAAAATTTATTCTACTTAAATTAAAAAATATTATACATATATTACAAAAATTTATTCTATTTAAATTAAAAAATATTATATAATAATATAAAAATTAATTCTATTTAAATTACAAAATATATTATATAAATTTATTCTACTTAAATTAAAAAAATTTTATATTACAAAAATTTACTCTATTTAAATTAAAAAATATTATATATCACAAAAATTAATTGTACTTAAATTAAAAAATTTATTGTACTTAATTTTAAAAATATATGTTTTTGTTATAATACTAGTTTTTATTATTATTATTTTTTTTTTTGATTTTAAGAAAATATTGATTTATTGAACTTTAATTATTTTGTTTTACTCAAGACTTCTACTGCACTTTAGCCTCTTTTTAGACAGAAATTCATTGACTTTGTGGATTGTGTTCAAATGCTTGAACGCTAACTCTCCGTTCAATATTTTGATAGTACAGCTAGTTGACTTTAGTCTAGTCTTAGATACGAGTCAAAAAAGAAAGTTGAATTAAAGCTTCCTGTTTTATAATCAAAATCTTTCTTAGGGTCTTTAGTCATTCAATTTAAAAAAAATTATTTTTGTTTGAAACCGAGGTATTATAACGTCTATGAGATAAATTGATTCGTTTTGTCTATCTTCAAGATTTACCCGACAACTAAAAGTTTTTATATTATGACAAATGGTAATGCAAAGGTGTTCTGGAAAAAAAAAATCATTTGTTCTTTATCTTTAGGCAGAAAAATTTATTATTCAATAATTTTTTTATTTTATCATTCTGTAATGCATACATTTTATTTGAAAGGAAGTTCTTTTAAAGAACACAAGAGGAGAAGAAGCAACTATGCATATGCAAAAACTATATACAAATGATAACAACAAATTTGCAACAACAAACATGTTGCATTTTTTGTAATGCGATTTTATTTGTATATAATTTATTTAAGTTGATAATGTAAAAAAGTACCACCTCTTGTAAATAGTTTATAGAACTAAGACTCTCATGTCGAAATAATACTATAAATGCCTAATATAATGTTTTGTGAGAAGGGTATATTAAAATATAATCTAACTGTAGGTTTACATTATCCATATGAACTCAAAAATGTCGAGTAATAGGTGTCATATTTTGTATAAAATCCATATAAAATCTATAAAAATGCGCTAATGAGATCCGATAATACCTAGTCAGCGTAAACATAATGTAACTTTACTTAGAATTGAGAATATTTTCAATGCCTTAAATTAATTACTTATTATTACTTATTAGTTATTAATATTGTTGAAATGCTATGTGAAATCGTTAAAACCGGTTGTGCTTACCTATCTTAGTTTTATATAATATCTTGTTATTACTCACTTCAGCTTCCAATCTACCAAAGTACTCGTGGTTTTTTATTAGTTATTATTGTTTATGCAAACGTACTGCTGTTATAATTGATATCTACTTCTAAGTTTCAAAAATCTTTTATAATTATTATTAGTTATTATTGCAGTCTTGTAAGAATACAAACAAAACACTTACTTCTGCACTATATATAATATAATATAAATACTATAATATAAGTAATATAATATAAATAATATAATATAAAAAAACACAAAAAGTATTCGTTAAAAAGGGAACAAAAATTCTAATTTCTTAAAAATATCAATATCTATAAATCATTTGACTACTTGAAAAATAGATAGAGTTCTGGTGTGTGTATTGGTCTAGAGTGTTTCACTTGAATGGTATGATTAGGAAATGGGGAAAAAACCTTCAATCTGAAGTATAAGTAAGTTGGATCTATCCGAAACTGATGTCTATAAATTTTGTGAAACGGATATTGAGAACTTAGAGCACATTCTTTCCGAGTAGCTCTTGATAAACAAAGGTTTCAAAATTTAGGAGGCGTTGTTGTGCTTGTAAAAAATCTATCGAACAGCAAACCTTTACGTGAAAAATAGATAGAATTTTCAGGTGTCTATTCATCCAGACTATTTTACTTAATGATATCATTATGAAATAATAGTTAAACAAAGACTTCTACCACTAAAACAAGTTGGATCTCTCCGGAACTGATATTTACCAATTTTGTAAAATGGAGAAATGAATAAAGAATTCTTAACAATGGATATTTTGAATTTAATTCTAAGCGCAGAGTGTTTCCTGTTCAGTTGCAAGCATAAAAGATTTAAAATGGCTGCATTGCTTCACTTCAATGGGATTCCTAAACACTATCTAATCTTTATTCTAATTCTGTATTAGACAATATACAAAATATTTATATAATAAAATATATATGTGTGTAAAAGCTCAAGTAGTTGAAGTCTTAACCATTTCATTAAATTTTATTATTATATCTTACTATGTATTTCGAATTCACAACTATCTTAGATCTATTAATACTTGTAAAATGTATAATAATTATGAATACATTCATTAAGAGAATTTATTTTGTTATCTCCATATCACCTTAGAATGATGTATTGAGCTTTATGAATTAAATTTACATTTTTTTTTATCTACAACAATTTGTAGTAAAAAATGTTCTCACGTTACATGCAAAAACAATTTTCTGTTATTTAAAAATCAAAAAGTAAAAAAAAAAATTAAAAAAAAAATAATATAGGTAAATATAAATAAATAAAAACTGAAAGAATAAATTGCTTATTTGTTTAAATTTGATTGATTCTAAATCAACCCATTAAAACGTGCGAGCGGACAACTCAAGTAGCAAATA